GCCGGACCCCTCGCAGCTGTGCCAAGCAGCGGCAGAATACCGGCGAAACACGAGTCTGGGCCTTTTAGCTCGTACCTAGGCTGTTAGTATGGTAAGTTACAATAAAATTTACCTTGATCACCACTTTGAAATGTCGGGTCCGTGTGCAGATCTAGCAGCATCAACATTTCTTTAAGTTCGCTTAAAGTTCTTTGTGTTTGTTTTTTGATAGTTCTCCTGGCGGCACTACCAGTCCTTCATCGATCAAACGCTGCGCCCTGCTGTTGTTCTGAAAAACCGAACATTCATGCAAAAGTACTTCCACAACCCCAAGTGAGTTTTGCGTTTCATTTCTGCTTGTTTGCAACTGCTGACTGCTGATAGACAAGATCACAAGATCCACCAAGATCACAGTGGCCGCGCACGTGAATTTGTTTATTAGCGAAACTGACTTACGCGGCAGTTATTCCACTCTGTGCTCATATTTCGATGATAGGTCAGCGACAAGACGCCCGAAGATGGATGTAGACGCTGCAACCGTGATAGCTAAACAGCTCGTCCATTACTGACTGGTTTCTTGCCGATAAGTTATCTATCCGAAACCACACCTCTTGTTACAACATGTTCCAGGCTCTTTTAAAATAATCTTTGTCCAGAGTTGTATTTACTATGTAAACTGACCGACTCGGGCAGTGTACTTCTGTACCATCACTACCCTTTTTTGTTTAATATCGTCTCATTCGTCGCCGCGCCAGGATGTCTCACGTGTGTGTGCGTGTGTGCGTATGTTAGCTTTGGTCGCCTCGTGCACTCCTAAATAACAGTCCGATTTCGATACTCTCGGACAAATTTATTCATCGTCATTAGGTCCACAAAAATCTACAACACGTGGTACCAAAGGTCAGATAAAACACAGAATACAATGAACACAAAAAAAACAGTACTACAAATATAGCACCATGTCGGACAACTTTTTGTACCGAAAAAAAAACAGATCCCAAAGGTAGGTACGCTGTTTTACGAATCAGCAGCACGGCGGTTCAGCCGACAAATACACGAGCCAGGAAGTTACGCTCCAGGTGGCTATCCACGTGCTAGGTAGAAATCATTAATTCGAGGTAATGGAGGTCTGGGACCGAAATTGCAACTTCACAGAACAGTCGTT